CATCTCTTTGCCTAGGGACCAGGCACTCTTAAGGTGGGGTAGGGTCCTACCCTCAGTTTGAAGAAGTGGGGGCAATAGGGCATGATCAAAGGGGCCATTTCTTTCTTTTCTTTCCTCATCTTCACTGCCCCTTGAGCTAGGTGGATTTTCTCTTCATGACAAGTAAGAGTATTTGGTAGGGAAGGCAGGTTAAACATAAAAAGACAACCCACCCCTGCCCCTTTGTTTCCCCTCCTCCTATCAGTCTGGTAACAGGAAGAAACCACACCATCAACACCAACAAGTTTCCATGTTCCTTTTACAACAAAAGGGACTGACTTTTTATATAACCAAATGTGGTGTTTTAGTGACTTTTTGATAATGTACAGTTTTTTGTGAATTTAAATTTATTTCTTTCTATATTTTTAGGACCAATCTCATTTTTAATAAGGTTAAAAAAAGGAAAAAAAGTCTAGAGAAAAAAACTCCTGTTTTGCCATGTGATGTTCCACAAGTGCAGCTGTAGAAAAGTGCTTGTCAGTTGAATAAAAACCACATTTGATAGAGATTCAAAAGACTCTGTGTATTTATTTTCTTTCAATATAGGCTTTCACAAATACCTAAGGGGGAGACTGGGTGTTGGGGTGGGTATGTATGACTGGCTTGGTGTACAAGATAGCAGGCAAGGGAAAATGTGCCCCCAAACTTCTAAAGTTTACCCTAAACCTCCCTGTTTGGCCTTTTCTGATGTAAGAGTCATCTAGAAGCTGGATTCCTGTTTCACACCTTGTGTGGGTGGAACAGGTTCTTAGTGCTTCTGCCTGAAGTCTAGCTGAGGTGCTAGAACAAAGTGGGACTTAGGGTGCCTAGTTCCTGCCTTCTTGTGAGACATGCCCTTGGTTTAAGCTGCTACCTGTGTTCGCATAAGAGTAAATATGGGCCCATCACCAGCTTCCCATCTCCCTCCCATGAATAAGACACCAAGACATAGACGTTTGTATTTTATTTCCAAACAAAAAAGGTTGAAAGATAAAAATGGAGCTCTACCAAGTTGTAGGGAAGCAACATGGGAAGACCAGGGATACCAAAAGAATAAGCTACAATATGGCATTAGCATAGAGGTGGGAAGAAGTCGCTGAATAAAGAAAAGATGTACAAAATGTGTTTTAGTTATAAATTAAACTTATTTTCTGTCCAAGTGAAAAGTGCATGCAACCAATAAAGTATTCACCAACCCCAAAAGGCCAAAAGGGCTATATGTTGGAGGAGTGGGTAGGTACAGCAATAATGAGGTGAGGACTTTCTTTACTCAGGCTGGATAAGTCTTAGTGACTCTCCAGGCTAGAAGCTTTGTCTAGGTGAACCCTCTAAACCTACTAGATGTTAAGGTGGAGAAGGAACATCTGCTTCTAGCACTATAAGAAAATCTCAAACCTCCCAGCTTGGCCTTTTCTAGATGCAAGAGGGATCCAGAAGCTGGAATCCTGTTTCACAACTTGGTACTTGGTTACTTTCTCAGCTTTTTTTTTTTTTGAGACAGAGTCTCGCTTTGTTGTCCAGGCTAGAGTGAGTGCCGTGGCGTCAGCCTAGCTCACAGCAACCTCACACTCCTGGGCTCGAGCGATCCTTCTGCCTCAGCCTCCCGAGTAGCTGGGACTACAGGCATGCGCCACCATGCCCGGCTAATTTTTTATATACATATCAGTTGGCCAATTAATTTCTTTCTATTTATACTAGAGATGGGGGTCTCGCTCTTGCTCAGGCTGGTTTTGAACTCCTGACCTTGAGCAATCCGCCCGCCTCGGCCTCCCAGAGAGCTAGGATTACAGGCGTGAGCCACCGTGCCCGGCCACTTTCTCAGCTTTTAACTTCTAAGCTCTGCTCCTATGATGGTGTTCCTGGGGGTGACTCCCAACCATTAGTTGTTATCCTAGGCAGTTCATTATGCAGCCTACCCTCCTGGCCTACCACAGCAGGACCTATCTGTAGAGTTCACGCTATTCTAGAGTGATTAGTAAGCTACAAATCCCAAAGGAAACAGTCCAGAAATAGAAATGTCCAAGGGAGTTTTTGCATTTGACCATGAGCCCTTTCTAGCCCTCAGCTTCCTAACCCTCATAAAAAGGACAGCAAAGGAAGATGTAAACCAGATGTTTATGCCCTTGTTGAATTGTGAGACTGTGAGGTAGTTGTGTAACAAGGACAAGAAAGTTTGGGAATCTGCTTGGAGAAGGAAGGTTTATTCAAAACAAGTGGACAGGTCGGAGAGAAAGAGCAGTGGTAACTGGGGTGATGAGGGCACCAACTTTCTCATTATAGTCGTGGGGATCACCCCTAGGGAGATGCAGCAAAATTCAGCAAAGATCAGAAGGGAGGTGGAACTCACAAGATGGTTTTAGCTGCTGAAGGAAGACCCCTCTGGAAGGAAGAAGTCAAAGCTGAAGAAATTTCAGGAATCTGCTAATGCCTGGAAGGATCTAAAATGCAGGTAGCACAAAAAGACTAGGTGGTTTAAAAGGGAATCTGGAAGAATCAGATAACAAGGCACAAGATTTTACGACTTACCCCTTAGAGAATGGCTCTTATAACACCTGCCAATTCAGAGGTCTAGCAGAGCCTAGGGGCAAGTTTGGATCTGATCAACCATCCAAGCTTATTACTCTGGGCTAAGAATGCAAAGTAGCCCCTCATGAGTTCAATGCTGCTACTTTTCCAGAAGGTGGGGCATGTGCACAAGAGAGCAGCAATGGTTCCGTTTTTAGAAGACTAGCAGCCACTGTTGGGATCTCTGCAACATTCTAGAAAGGCCTCTCACAGCATCTTTATGGTGGAAAATAACACCCCACACATAGGCCTCAGCCTCCAATGGGCCGACATATTGAAGTAGCAGGGAGTAAGCACTGGAGACACTAGGAGGGTGAATGATGCTCACTGACTGGCAAGTTAGGAAAGGAAGAGGAATGGAATGGGGCTGAGGTAGCCCAGTCCAGGCATGGCTTGAGAAGCAGCAAAGGCTGGTCTTCATCCCCAGTATAAGTAATATCCTCCCCCCTATTTTTATTGATGAGGTCTATTACCTCTTTAGAGCCACCAGGCTTCCTAGGCTGGGCAGCTTTTCAAATTCTTTGGTTAAAAACACTCTTTAAAAATAAATCTCTCTCCCTCAGTGTTCCTACATCTTCCTACCCACACCCTCCAAAAAGTCTAAACAGGTGATAAACTAAAAAGTGATACCCAGGGTCTGGGTATCATCTCAGAACCTGAGGGGGCAGCAGTAACACTGACATGAGATGGGATGGGCAGGCTCAGGCCTAGTGAAGGATTACACCATCTGGGGAAGGAACTCTGGTATGTTCTATTTGAAAACAGAAAAACACAAAGGAATAGAATATTTTAAGAATGTTTTATGAGCATCTGTAATAAGTGAGGATATGCAAAAAGAGAGTAAGATCTGGGCTCCTGAAGACAGGATTCAGAAAATACTAGGTGAGTCCAGCCCTAGGTTATGAGCTAGAATGTTCCCCTATAATTCCTCTGCCACCACCCCAACCAATTAGGCTATTTCATGGAAGAAACTATCCCTCAATCCCTCTTCCTTTCTCCAGTCACTCACCCACTGTTATAAATGAACTAACACTTTGGGGGTCAAATGAGCATAAACCAAAATCACCAAAAAAGCAATTCCTCAGGGCCATTAACCACTGCAAAAATAACTCTGGGCTCCTATCATTTCCCATGTTTAAAACTGCCCCAACCAGAAACACTCAACAAAACCTAACAAGTAGATTCACATGAAGAGAACCCAAAAGGTAACTTCAAAATTTAAAACAGGCCGGGCGCGGTGGCTCACGCCTGTAATCCTAGCACTCTGGGAGGCCGAGGCGGGAGGATTGCTCGAGGTCAGGAGTTCGAAACCAGCCTGAGCAAGAGCAAGACCCCGTCTCTACCATAAATAGAAAGAAATTAATTGGCCAACTAACATATATATATAGAAAAAATTAGCTGGGCATGGTGGTGCATGCCTGTAGTCCCAGCTAGTCAGGAGGCTGAGGCAGCAGGATTGCTTGAGCCCAGGAGTTTGAGGTTGCTGTGAGCTAGGCTGATGCCACGGCACTCACTCTAGCCTAGGCAACACAGCGAGACTCTGTCTCCAGAAAAAAAAAAAAAAAATTAAAACAAAAGAAAGAATCAGAGCCATTTAAACTTTTTTTTTTTTGAGACAGAGTCTCACTCTGTTTCCCTGAGCTAGAGTGCCGTGGTGTCAGCCTAGCTCACAGCAACCTCAAACTCCTGGGCTCAAGCGATCCTCCTGCCTCAGCCTCCCGAGTAGCTGGGACTACAGACATATGCCACCATGCCCGGCTAATTTTTTTTATATATTTTTAGTTGGCCAATTAATTTCTTTCTATTTTTAGTAGAGACGGGATCTCGTTCTTGCTCAGGCTGTTTTCAAACTCCTGACTTCGAGTGATCTGCCCACCTCAGCCTCCCAGAGTGCTAGGATTACAGGTGTGAGCCACCGCGCCCGGCCTAAACATTTTTTAAATAGAGAAAAGGGATAGAATCGGGAGTTCCAGGAAGGTGGGGCAGCAACATCGATAATTGTTTCTGTATGTGAAAAGCCCCCATTGCACTAAACCTCCTATTATAGTAAGGCTCTCCCAACCTACCAAATGAACAGAATTCTAGATTTGTTTACTCTTTCTCTCAAAGGCCACTGACAAGAAAGCAGCTATGGTTTACTTTCATTGACTGAGGGAGTGCTGGAGACTAAAAACAAAAGCTATCTGTCCAACCAAACCCTTCCCGAGATTGGAAGCACCAATGAGAAAATATTGGCAATTCTGTCCTTTACACCTGTGGTCCACATTCCCCGGGCCATGGACTTGTCCGTGGCCTGTTAGATACTGGGCCACATGGCAGGAGGTGAGAGTGAGCAAAGTTTCATCTGTACTTACAGCCGCTCCCCATCACTCCCCATCACCATCACTCGCATCACCACATAAGCTCCACCTCCTGTCAGATCAGTGGCAGCATTAGATACTCACAGGAGCACAAACCCTATTATAAACCGTGCATGCGCGCTCCTTATGAGAATCAAATGCCTAATAAACTGAAGTGGAGCGGAGGCAGTGAGGCTAGTGCTGGGGGTGGCTTCAAATAAAGATTATCATTAGGAGAGAGGTTTTACTCACAATAAATGTAATGCACTTGAATCATCCTGAAACTATCCCTCCCACCCCTGGTCCATGGAAAATTGTCTTCTATGAAACCAATCCCTGGTGCCCAAAAGGTTGGGGACTTCTGCTTTACACTGCTTTGCCCCCAAATCCCTTACCCTCAGTAGGGAGCATTGGAACTGTCATTTCTGGGGTGGCTGGGGAGGAAGAGAAAGCAGGGCCCAAGCCCTATGTGCAAAAACTGATAACAGTTTCTCCTTCCCCTGCTATCACCCCCTTCCTGTCCCAAAAGCCAGTTTAATGAACACCTGTTTCTCCATCCTGAATCACTTCCTTTGTCTGATTGTCTGGAGGAGAAGCATCTGGCCTTGAATTGAAGGGGAGCAGAATTCTCCTTTCAGTGCATAAGAGGGTGACTGGGAGAAGACAGGAGCAGGATCTTATTTCCTAGAAGATGGGCAAAGGCTTTATTTTATCTTACTCCATGTGTACAAGGTCAGATCTTGCAGGAGACAGTTAAAGAGTAAGTCACAGGCTTTTCAAAAGGACTCCTGAATAATGCGTCCTTAAATATTAAATAATGAGATAGAACTTATTGCCCTTTTCTATCCTAGCTCCCTATTGTCCTTCCATAAGAAGGAAACTTATTTGTCCTGGTTTCTTAGGGAAGAGGTCCAAACACACCAGGGCAGGGCAGGTCACTCTGGACAGTTACAGAGAGCTTTGTCCTTTTCCCACGCCTACACAGCACACACACAGAACAGTCCCCACCTCGATCACTCTGAGTATATGAGTGCATTTGGCATGTGCACAGCAGCCACAAGCCTTTCAAGGACAGCTCTTGCTGTATGCAGAGGTGTCAAAGGTCAAAGCTGCAGGAGAATTCAAGGATCCCAGTTAAGTCCCTCCCTTTCAACCGGTTGCATTGGTGTCAAAAGGCACTGCATATCCAGGTTGGGGTGGGAATTTACCCTACCTGAGGAGGCAGGAACAACCCTGTCTACATTAAGGTTTCTCAATCGTGGCATTATTGACATTTTGAGCCAAATAATTCTTTGTTGGGGGTAGTGGGGATTGTCCTGTGCACTGCATGATGTTTAGCAGCATCCCTGGTTTCTAGCCCCTAAGACGCCAGTAGTACACACACCACCCACCCCCAGGCATAGCAATCAAAAATGTCTCCAGATAGTGCCAACGTCCTCTGTGGGACAAAACCACCTATGATGGAGAACCACTGGTCTATGGGTAAAGCAGTGGATCTTCCACAGCAGGGAAGCGGCGTATGTGGATTCAGCTAGGTCACATCTGCAAAGACTCTAAGCACAGCAACATGCAACAGGGAAGAGCGGGGCCATGACACAGGGCAGAAAAGATCCTCCAGGAGGCAGGAAAGCAGATATTCCCAAAAAGCTATAGCTGGAAAAGAGACTTCCTCAGATAGTGTTGGCCTTGGCAGTGAGAAAAGTTAGTCAGAAGTCTGTCATTCTGGAACTTGCCAGGGAAGACCTAGTCTTCAACCAAATTTGGGTCAAAGGCAGCTTCCAAGAGCCATGGGGTTGTCTCTTTAATGGGCCTAGGTCACATCTCTGCTTCCTCAAGCCGAAGTCTTATTTTTTTCTCCCAGGATGTGGCAGGGCAGAGGAAAGAAAAGCCACTTCCATTGCCTGCTTAGTGTTCTACCTTGTTCTTTGCCCAGCTCCTCAAAAATCCCACATGAAATTTCATTCAGAAAAGAAATCCACAAAATTAACAACTGTAAAAAGGTGAAGTAGGCTGGCTCAGCTGTATGGAAAAGAGAAAAAAGAACAATCTGGATGAGAGAAAGTAGGGATAAAATGGGGAAAGAGGAGACAGGGTGTGTGAGGCTGAGAGCTTTACAAAACAAAAATTTAAAAGTCTGCATATTTTCTTAAACATATACACACACATCAAAAAAAAAAGTCTATAACCAAACTCAGTAAGTAGGGCTTCTTCATCAATGTTCTAGTATCATATCTTTCTGTTTTGTTTTTTAAAGAAATAATTGTAAATTGTTTTAAAATCCTTCCCCAAAGTTCCAATACATCAAAAACCATTTTTCATATAGATGAGAAGAATCTCCAGCCACCATGTCTCTTTGGGGTGAGGAAAGAATACACTGCAGTTAAAACAAAAAACTTTCTTTGCAAAAGAAAAAAGGTTTTCTGATCTCCATGAATGTAGCACACACATAAAGTAATGGCTCCCCCAGGCTCCATCACCAATGGAGAAATAGCAGAGGGCAGGTGCGTAGAGATTTCTTTTTCCAGGCCCAGGCCTGTGAAAATCGATAGCTGAGTGTTAGTCCTTAGCAGGGCCTACAAATCATCTGTATTCCTGGTTAACCCTTTGGGGTCTGGGAACATCAACATCTTCAAAAATTCATTTCTATTCATTCAACAAAGATAGGGAGGGGAATCCTAAAGAAGGCATAGGCCAGAGAGGGTGGAACAGGGATAAACATGAGAACCTGTCTGACTTCAGGCAGGCCTCAGCTGCTGTCTGCTTGCCCGGTACACCCCACCTCCCAGCATGTTGTTCTTACCCACTGTTACTTGTTGAACTGGAAAGAATAGACTCCATGGTCAGAGGGTGTATCCACTGCCACCTGATTCTGCTGGCCACTGCTCTCCTGCATTAAAGCCAAGGAGGATGGTCATTTTGTGCATTTCTCTCTTTGCATGGGTTTTAGCAGCCTAGCAAAACCCACACAAAGCTGAGTGCCCTCCCCAGCCTACTCACTCTCCACACACAGGTGGAGTGCCTGCACACAAAGCACCACTTCCCCAACAACACAGCTGCCTGCCCTCTTCCCGAGACATACCAGTCAATACAAGCCAGCATCCTGGTATTAGTACTAGCTGCCGAATGTGAGGAAAGGCCTCATTCATAAACACAGACTGTCTTTCCTGCCTACATTCTTTTCTTTTTTTAATATGGAACACTTCACAAATTTGTATGTCATCCTTGCGCAGGGGCCAAGCTAATCTTGCCTATATCATTCCACTGTTAGTATATGTGATATCAAAGTGAGCATATGCTTCCTATATTCTTCATATAGCTACCAGCTACTTGTGAACACAGAATCAGCATCATTGTGAAAGGAAGATCTTGACTGGGGAAAATCTACCTCTGTTCATTTCCTATCCTTATTCCAAACAAATGATAACACTCTTACCTCAACTGAAACGTTGGAAGAAGGCACAGGGGTGTACTGGGATATGTAAGTTCCTTGCATAGCTGCAGTTGTTGGCATATACTAGAATGAAAAACATCAACAAGGTTAGGGCACTAATTCTTGGTTACATTTAATGCAACTAAAGAGCTTTAAAAAGTACTGATGCCTATGTTCTACAACCAGAGATTCTAATTTAATTGATCTGGGCATTGGGTTCTTAAAAAGCACTTCAGGTGGTTCTAAAGTACACTGGCTTCGAGAGAATTTTATGTACATGCCTTATTTCCTTCTCTTTCCTGCTTTCTCTGCTTTTCCGTAACACACTGCCTTCTCTGCCCTTAATTCCTCCTGTGCAAATCAGAATGCAGAAAGCCTAAAAGAAACCTAATGAGCTTCATCCATTCTTCCTGTTATTATTTTGATAAGAATTTCAAGGAAATGTGTTTTTCTTAGATAAACTAATATGCAACTAGAAACACTATTCATTTAATTTCATGAGTAGAAATCAGAGGAGTGGGCTGGGAACAGAATGGCTATATTCCTGGCTCATGGATTATTATCCTATTAGTTTATATCCTGCTCTGAGTATGCCCTCAATGACACTGAAGTGATCCCATCATCATATTCATCAGTTATTTATGCAAAAAATATTACGCAGGTATGCCTTGCTCTGTAGGTGTTTATAATCAGAAATATCCTGCTTTACCGTGCCCGTGCTGCTGAGGGAGAGGTGGCCCAGTTGCTGGGTAAGGGGTCCCATCATGGAGGCAGGCTGGAGAGAAATGGGGTGATCCATCCCTGGTGTCAGAACTGAACCCTAGAGCCAACAACAAATGACAGGGTTAGTTGGCAGCATCCTGTGAGGCTGCCTAAAGCAGTGACTGATGGCTATTAGGACCATTGAAGATAGACAATTAAGAATCCTGGGAGGCCACACGCAGTGGCTCACACCTGTAATCCTAGCACTCTGGAGGCCGAAGCAGGAGGATCATTTGAGCTCAAGAGTTGAGACCAGCCTGGGCAAGAGCAAGACCCCCGTTCTCTACTAAAAATAGAAAGATATTAATTGGCCAACTAAAAATATATAGAAAAAATTAGCCAGGAATAGTGGCGCATGCCTGTAGTCCCAGCTACTCAGGAGGCTGAGGCAGAAGGATTGCTTGAGCCCAGGAGTTTGAGGTTGCTGTGAGCTAGGCTGACGCCACAGCACTCTAGCCCAGGCAACAGAGTGAGACTCTATCTCAAAAGAAGAAGAAAAAAAAAAGAATCCTGGGAAATGATATGTGAGCAGCAACCCAGCTATGCAACAGGAATAGGCACTCTGCTCATTAGTGTGGAGAGACGGTTGTCTAAGAATAACGAAGTCTTAGAATTTAAGGTCTTGGAACTGGGTTACACAAGGGACTGAGCTATAACTCACACCCACATCTCCTATCATCAAAGCCCATTGTTTTTCTTTATATCACATCAGATTGCCTCTTTGGCTTCTGCCCACGTCTGAACACTCACTGAAGGCTGCATGAGGTATGACTGGTGGTGCATCCAAGATGGGTTAGGTACTTGTAGAGGAGATGTCTGAGTCACTCTCTAATGCAAGCAAAAACAAAATAAAAATGTTAATTGTCTAGAAACTATTGTTCAGCCTAATGATTTGATAATGTTCGGCAAAGTCCAAAAAAATTTAGAATGTCCCCACCTCAGAAAATAGAAACATTAAGAACAAACTGTTTTCTTGCTAATGAGATTGGGTTTTAAAAAAAATAAAATAAAATAAAAATTAAAGAAAAAAAGAATAAACTGTTTAAGGCTAGGTGCAGTGACTCACACCTGTAATCCCAGCACTGTGGGAGGCCAATGCAGGAGGATTGCTTGAGGCCAGGAGTTCGAGAACAGCCTAGGCAACATAGTGAGGCCTCATCTCTACAAAAAATTTTAAAAATTAGCCAGGTGTGGTCATGGTACATGCCTGTAGTCCTAGCTCCTTGGGAGTCTGAGGCAGGAGGATTGCCAGAGCCCAGTTCAAGGCTGCAGTGAGCTATGATTGTGCCACTGCACTCCAGCCACTCAGGCAACAGAGCTAGAACAGTCTCTAAAAATAAATAAACATACTGCTTAAAAATATTAGCAATTCTTACAACTCGATAAATAACCTAATTAAAAAACAGGCAATGGAGATGGAGAGACATTTTTCTGAGAAGATATACAAATGGCCAATAAGCACACAAAAGAGGCTCAAATGGAAATCAAAAACACCACAAGGCCGGGCACAGTGGGTCACGCCTGTAATCCTAGCACTTTGGGAGGCCAAGGCGGGCGGATAGCTCGAGGTCAGGAATTCAAAACCAGCCTGAGCAAGAGCGAGACCCTGTCTCTAGTATAAATAGAAAGAAATTAATTGGCCAACTAATATATATAGAAAAAATTAGCCGGGCATGGTGGTGTATGCCTGTAGTCCCAGCTACTCGGGAGGCTGAGGCAGTAGGATCGCTCGAGCCTAAGAGTTTAAGGTTGCTGTGAGCAAGGCTGACACCACAGCACTCACTCTAGCCTGGGCAACAAAGTGAGACTCTGTCTCAAAAAAAAAAAAAAGTATATATATATGTATATGTATATATATATATATATATATGTAAACAACCACAATAAGACCTCACTTTATACCCACCTGGATATGGCTGTAATTAAAAGGATAGAGTAATAAGTGTTTTATACTGCTGTTGGGAATGTAAAATGGGGCAGCCACTCTGAAAAACATTTTGGCAGTTCCTCAAACAGTTAAACATAGACTTACTACATAGCCCAGCAATTCCAATCCTAGGTATATACTCAAGTGAAATGAAAATCTATGTCCACCCAAAAACTTGTATATAAGTGTTCATAGCAGTATTATTCACAATAGCCAAAAAGTGAAAACAACTCAAGTAGCCATCACCTGATAAATGGATAAATGTGGCAGGTCCATAAATTATTCAGCCATAAAAAAGAATGATACATGCTCCAACATGGATAAACCTTGAAAACATGCTAAGTGAAAGAAGCCAGATACAAAAAGACCATATACTGTATGATTTCATTTATATGAAATGGCCAGAACAGGCAAATCTATAGACAATGTACTTTACATTCATCAAGACAGGAAAAATGTTAAAAGAGCAATGACACCTATGGCTAGAGGGAAATGGAAATGGGTTCTCTCAAACATGGCTAGTGAGAATGTAAATTGACACAGCCTTGTGGAAAGCAATCTGGCAACATATGTAAACTGAAATCCATATATTATTCAATCCCACTCCTGGGACTCTAACCCCCAGAAATAAAAGTACTCACATGTAAAAATATAGGCACAAGGATGTTTACTGGAGCATTATTTGTAGCAGCAAAAAACTGAGATCCAAGTGAATGCCCTTCACTGGATATAGCTAAAGAATTCTGGCATGTCTGCAGCATGAAATATAATGGGACCACTAACAAGACATAATTAGAGCAGAGGATGTCAACATTAGCTACAACAGAATTTCTTTGAGGGCTTGTTAAAACCAGATTGCTGGGCCCCATCCTCAGAGTTTCTGATTCAGTAGATCTGGAGTGGAGTCAAAAATGTGTGTTTCTAAAAAATTCCTAGGTGACACTGATACTGTGCTTTCAGGGACTACACTTTGAGAATTATTGGTCTAAGATACTGCTAAGTGAGAAGAGGAAATGTAAATAACATACTTAATATGGTCCAATTTTTGTAAAATAAACTGTAACTCCCAAAACTCTATACAGATGTACATATGCACATGAAAAATGCTACATAGTAAGAAATTACCATGGGTTTACTTGTGGAGGTAGTGGAAGGAGAGTAAGAGGATGCCACTAAAACTACGTACTATAAATGTAACCACATTCACACACAAAGGTCACATTTTGTGCTTTTATGTAAAATTATTTGTAATATGTATAAAGGAAAAACCAAAAAACAAGTAGTTTCTAACCTTATGTTCCTTCACCTAAAACATAATGGTAGGGAAAACCACCACACCCTGTTCTAGGCATGAACATACCTGATAGGAAGACACAGGAGATGGAAGGTATGGGGACAGTGCAGACTGAGCAAGCATCCTGTTGGGGGTGATGTTATAAGGGGCTGGGTAAAACCTGCAGGAAGGAATCTCAATCAGTACCAAGTCACAGGAAACCACAAGGTAAGAGCCCCAACTAATAAGCATGGCCACTTTCCCACTAACTGCTATTGGAAAATCCATATGAAACATCCAAGTGCCTGGATACAGGCCATTGTCATTTTCAGGTCATCTGATTATATAAAACACCCTTACCCATTCTGAAGCGCTGTGGTGGGGTCATAGTTCAATGCCATACCACCCTATACAGAAAAACAAAGTGTTCATATTGTGAGCTTCAAGTGAGAACAAGAGCAAGGCCAGAATGCCGAGGCTGGGAATATATTTAGTTCAACTGATTAAAGTCTGAATAAGTCCCTTCATGACGGCTGTTCCAGAGTTTTTCTGATTGTGCAGACTGCAAAACTCCATTTAAGACCCATGATGAAGAGTATGTTAACAGCCAGCAATTCCCAGTTACATACAGTAGCTTTTTTTTTTTTTATTTTTTTTTATTTTTTAGATATGGAACGCTTCACGAATTTGCGTGTCATCCTTGCGCAGGGGCCATGCTAATCTTCTCTGTATCGTTCCAATTTTAGTATATGTGCTGCCGAAGCGAGCACTTTTTTTTTTTTTTTTTTTTTGAGACAGAGCCTCACTCTGTTGTCCAGGCTAGAGTCAGTGCCATGGCATCAGCCTAGCTCACAGCAACCTCAAACTCCTGGGCTCAAGCTATCCTCCTGCCTTAGCCTCCCAAGTAGCTAGGACTACAGGCATGTGCCACCATGCCTGGCTAATTTTTTCTATATATATTAGTTGGCCAATTAATTTCTTTCTATATATAGTAGAGATGGGTCTCACTCTTGCTCAGGTTGATTTCAAACTCCTGAGCTCAAACGATCCGCCCGCCTCGGCCTCCCAGAGAGCTAGGATTACAGGCGTGAGCCACCTTGCCTGGCCCATACAGTAGCTCTTAAGCTTGCCACCTAAACTCACAGAAATCAGGCCATGGTAATTTCCATTCCACTTCAATGTCCTTAGAACTCCTGTTTCCTTGGAAGTTCTCTTACCATGTCTCCTCCATTCCTTGGCCAGGCCCGTCCATTCTGTACAAACTTTCCTTGGTTCTGTCGTTTCTTTGGTCCACCATCAGCAAATTTGCAAAGCAAAGGATCAGATGGGGCTGCCAAGACAGAAAGCAGATGGGCAGCTGAGTTCCACCTCATTTGGCCCACTCACATTCATGCAAAACTCCTCCAGAATCTTCACTGGGAGTAACAACCTGTGGCCCTCTCAGCCTGATTCCCAGATGCCTCACCTGGTACTCCAGGGGGTGTCTTAATATATTTTCCATTAAAGTGGGTGATGATGGCTTCACACTTCTCTGTGGACTCCATCCTAAGGAGCACAAGAGGGGTTAGGCTCTAGCTTCTCCAGGATCTGTGCTCTCCATACATTCATAGAGAAAGCTCTAAGTTCCCAGCCCCACAAATGCTCCAAATGTTATGACTATAGAAACACAGAGCTTCTGTCAGACAAATTCAAGTTATCTTGAAGAGGCAACCCCAGCTTCTAATGAAGGATCTCTAAACTGGCCCTGGTAGGGGATCCTCAAAGGAATAATGGAAGTCTTCAAGCTGTTAATATTCCAAAGATGGATGGGCCTACTATCATGTCTGGTACATAAATAAGAATATAAGAAATAGTGGCTGTTACCATTATTGTTTATTACAAAATTCCTAATGGAAACTGTTCCTTTCTTTATTCCAATAAAACTGCACAAGCTAAGAACTTGCCAATATTTATTTTTGCTTCTGGTTATAATTATCGAGATCTAATTAGCTACTGATAACATCACTAAGATTTCAGAAATCTGTGGAAGGAAAAGTAATTAGAAAAGGTTCATGGTCCATAGTGATAGAAAAAGGAATGGTAAGCATTACCGAGCTAAAGTTTCTTACTGGGGAAAGAGGACTGAGTAAGGGATCAGAAGATCTAGATTCCAGCACCAGATTACCACCCAAAGCTCTGTGAGTTAGGATGCTCACCAAAACCCTCCGGACTCATTTGTGCTTTAGAGATAATATCCATATACCCCACTACACAGTGTTGTACCGGTCAAATGAGATAATGTATATAAATGTGTTCTAAAAATTATAAGGGCTCATCACTTCTCGGCCTTTTGACTAAGTTCAAGTGTAAAAATTATAAGGGCCTATATAGTACAAGGAACCCTCCCATACTGTTAATGAGAATGTAAATTAGTATAGCCACTATGAAACAGTATGGAGGTGCCTCGCAAAACTAAAAATAGAACTACCATATGATCCAGCAATTCCACTACTGGGTATATATCCAAAAGGAAGGAAATAAATATATCAAACAGCTATTTGCACTCCTTTGTTTATTGCAGTACTATTCACAATAGCCAAAATATGGAATCAAGTGCCCATAAATGGATGAATGGATAAAGAAAATGTGGTATATATACACAATGGAATATTATTCAGCCATAAAAAGACTGAAATCCTGTCATTTGCAGTAACATGGATAGAAATGGAGGCCATTATAAATAAAATAAGCCAGGCATAGAAAGACAAATATCACATGTTCTCACTTATATGTGAGAACTGAAAAAAGCAGATCTCATGAAGATAGAGTGTAGACTGGTGATTACCAGAGGCCAGGAAGGGTAGGTGGAGAGGGAAAAAGTGAAAAAAAAAAAAAAAAGTATATATAAATATACATAAAATATGTATTCATTATCACTGAACCATATACTTGTACACTTAGAAATGGTAAAGATGGTAAATTATACATGTATATTTTACCTCCCTTTTTAAAAGGCAAAAAATTAAAAATTTTAAAGTAAAAAAAAAATTCTTCACCCAAGCGATCTGCTTGAGGGTAGAGCTCCTGATTGCTAAAGATCAAAAGCAAAGTCCTCTCTTACAATCATGGCTCTCAATTTACTTCTCATCCATACTAAAACTCAGCAGGCATTAATGACTAAGTTACAAATCCCTTTTGTAAGTCCGATGTTTTCCAATTCTTTTTTTAAAATTTTCTACTTTTTCTTCTTTTAAACACAACCAAAGCTTATAATGATCTTTTCCAATTCTTTGCAACAAAGTTGGAGAACTTTAGCAAGTTGTCAATTGACAATAAACAATCAATTTTGATGATAGATCACCTTGGTTCTTGGCATATAATAAAAAAGGAATTTTTAAGATTCTTATTTTAAAAAAATTCCTTCCATTCCCATCTACTTATTTTATGTAAACAAGGTTTATCAGGCCGGCGCGGTGGCTCACACCTGTAATCCTAGCACTCTGGGAGGCTGAGGCAGGCGGATTGCTCGAGGTCAGGAGTTCGAAACCAGCCTGAGCAAGAGCAAGACCCTGTCTCTACTATAAATAGAAAGAAATTAATTGGCCAACTAATATACACAGAAAAAATTAGCCGGGTATGGTGGCGCATGCCTGTAGTCCCAGCTACTTGGGAGGCTGAGGCAGGAGGATCGCTTGAGCCCAGGAGTTTGAGGTTGCTGTGAGCTACGCTGACGCCACAGCACTCACTCTAGCCTGGGCAACAAAGTGAGACTCTGTCACAAAAAACAAACAAACAAACAAACAAAAAAAAAACAAGGTTTATCAGCATGAAAAAAAAATAGGAACAGAACTGGTATTGAATACTTTTCTTGTTATAGCAATAAACAATATTCACTGATGGTTGCATGACCTAATTAGTAAAGATAAACAAAATAAAATGTATCCATGTCTTAGGAGAAGTATTTCCAATAAAAACTTACTTTATTTTTACTTATTTATTTATTTATTTTGAGACAGAGTCTTGCTTTGTTGCCTAGGCTAGAGTGAGTGCTGTGGCGTCAGCCTAGCTCACAGCAACCTCAAACTCCTGGGCTCACACAATCCTTCTGCCTTAGCCTCCCGAGCAGCTGGGACTACAGGCATGCACCACCATGCCCAGCTAATTTTTTTGTATTTATATTTTTAGTTGGCCAATTAATTTCTTTCTATTTTTAGTACCAACAGGGTCTTGCTCAGGCTGGTTTTGAACTCCTGACCTTGAGCAATCCTCCCGCCTCGGCCTCCCAGAGTGCTAGGATTACAGGTGTGAGCCATCGCGCCCAGCCTAAAACTTACTTTATTTTTTTTTTTATTTTTATTTTTTTTTTGAGACAGAGTCTCGCTTTGTTGCCCAGGCTAGAGTGAGTGCCGTGGCGTCAGCCTAGCTCACAGCAACCTCAAACTCCTGGGCTCGAGTGATCCTTCTGCCTCAGCCTCCCGGGTAGCTGGGACTACAGGCATGCGCCACCATGCCCGGCTAATTTTTTTTTTTATATATGTATCAGTTGGCCAATTAATTTCTTTCTTTTATAGTAGAGACGGGTCTCGCTCTTGCTCAGGCTGGTTTTGAACTCCTGACCTTGAGCAATCCGCCTGCCTCGGCCTCCCAAGGCTAGGATTACAGGCGTGAGCCACAGCGCCCCCTAAAACTTACTTTATATAAATAATTTTGTATGAACATTAATAATATATTTATGTTATATGGAGCAATGTGAACTAATACTTATAAAGTAATTCTCTCATGGGTTAACACACATAGCCTAATGGGTATAGGGGAAAATTTTTAATTTATATATGCATTTTGTTGCAGATAATTATGAGGATGATCCAGAAAAGGTTTTAATATTTACACTACAATACAATTCTGTAGGAAATGAAATACAACCACAGATCGAGAAACAAAAAAGGAACGTTGTAAGAACAATATGAGATTTATGCTACAGTAGTCACCACTTATCTGTGGGAATTCGTTCCAAGACCTCTGGGGGAAGCATGAAGCCACAGATAGTACTGACCCTGCATATACCACATTTTTTCAATCTGAAACCAAAACAGCTACAAAGTGGGCAGTGGACAGCATATACAGCATGGATACATGGACAATGAGATTTTTTTTTTGAGACAGTCTCACTCTGCTGCCCAGGCTAGAGTGCTGTGGAGTCAGCCTAGCTCACAGCAACCTTACACTCCTGGGCTCAAGCAAT